TTTCAGGATTATTTTCTTCTTTCTAGTCTTCCAATGAACTGGAAGAGGGTTGCCTTCTCCCAAATAGGGGTACCTGCTTGCTCCTAAAATATATATTATCTGTGAGACTTTTGAATCAGACAAACCTAACACCCACTTTTCAGGTTCCCCTCTCACAAGATGCGGTGTGGATCCTGATGGTTCTCCCTGGAAACAGTCTTATTCCCATGTCTAATAGTGTCATTGTTCTAGTAACTACTTCTCTGCTAACTAAAGAGTCTGTGGATATCTTCATATGCTTTTTAACTTTTTGGATGACTTCTTCTATAACCTGCCTTTGCATAGCCCATGTCAATATTTTTCTTATTGATTTACTGGAGTTCTTTCTATGTTCTAGACATTAACTCACTATTAGTTTTATCTTCATTCTAACATTTGTCTGTTTAACAAGGGACACTATTCCTTATTGATCAGGTGTCTATTTTGATGTAAACAAATTCTTTTTTTTTGGTCTTTTGGTTTATGTTATTTGTTTAAGAAATCTTTTCTGCCCTCAAGCTATTTGTTTGTACATTGTTTTTGTAAATGCATGTATTTATCTTTCACAATTAGCTCTTGATCTCCCTGGAATCTACCTTTTTATGTAGGATTAGTAAGAGATCCAGTTTTATTTTTCTCCATGTTGTGAGCCAGTTTTTCCAACATTGTCAAGGTAATTTCTCACGCAACATTTTTCTTCGTGTGTGTGCGTGTGTGTGTCTGTGTGTGTGTGCTTGCTTTTACTCCATTGCTCACCTTCTGTTTCTTGTAGAATAAACATATCTAAAGTTTAAGTATCCTTCAAGGAACAGCTTTCGGTGTGTCCCATAAAATTAGAGATGTAATGCTTTCCTTATCTAAATAGCATTAATAGTTAAAAACTAACATGGCACTAATATAAGACAGTCAACATTCTATAATCTTTATTTATTTATTTTGGCCACACCGTATGGCTTGCGGGATCTCAGTTCCCCAACCAGGGACTGAACCCAGGCCATGAAAGTGAAAGTCCGGAATCCTAACCACTAGGCCAGCAGGGAACTCTCTATAATCTTTAATATCCTTTTGAAAGTCAATATTGTACAGAAATATTTATTGTTTCCAACATCAGATTGTTTAACTTACAATTTTGTTATTAATTTTTAATTTTATTGCATTATGGTCAGAGATCCTCTGAGTGATGTTAATCCTTTGGAATTAATAGAGGTTTCCTTTGTAGTCTTAAATATGGCTGTTTTTGTAAGTATTCTGTGTGTACTCAAAAAAGAATGCATGTTTCCTGTTTGCTGAGCATATAGTTTGATATCTTTAATAGTTTGAGTTTGGTGATTGTATTTTCCAGATATTTTATAACACTTCTAATATTTTATTTGCATGATCTATTAGATTCTGAAACAAGGATGTTAAAATATTCAGCTACAATTGATAAGTCATCTATTTCTTCCTGAAGTTGTCTTAGTGTTGTTTGGTGTATTTTGCAGCTGTATTTTAAGGTGCATATGAGTTTATAATGGTTATAATCTTCTTGTTTGATTATCCCTTTTTCTAATACATAATTTTCTTTCTGTTCTTTATGCTTTTTTGCCTTATTAAATTCTACTTCGTCATATATATATATTTATCATTTAATATTTATATTTTAGTTCCTTTCATATTAGGCTCTTTAACCTTGTGATTTTTTTTTTTTTTTTTTTGAGCAGCACTGTGCAGCATGTGGTATCTTAGTTCCCCGATCAGGGATGGAACCCGTGACCCCTGCAGTGGAAGCGTGCAGTCCTAACCACTGCGGAATGCCAGGGGATTCCGTTAGTCAGATATTGAGAGGATCTCACATTTCTTTTGGTTCATGTTTCCCTAGCATAACTTTCCCATCTATGTTTAATATTTAATTTTCTTTTTGTCTTAGGTGTGTCTCTTGTTGCCTGTACATTGTGGGGCTTTAGTTTTTCACTCCAATATGGGACTATCTGTTTTTAATTGGTGACCAAGCCCACTGTATTATAATTAATCTTATATTAAGATATTTCACACATTTTATGGCCCATAGTCATGTTTACTCACCCATATTGCTTTCTTAGCTATCCAGATCTCTATTTCCTCCCCTAAAAGAGAAAGCTTTAGGCTGCTCTCTTGTCATGTTGATCTTGCCCCAGTCTTGTCAATATTAATAAGATTTTAGTTTGGGGTATTTATTTGGCAATCTTTGAGTTTTTCTTATTTGAGGTCTTTTAATCTTTCTTTAATCCTGGAGGATTTAAACAGTATTTTTTCAAATATTCCCCCTCTCTATTTTCATTTTTTGGTCTCCTTTTGGGACTCCTTTTGTCCAGGTGTTGGATAGAGACACTTTCATAGCCACTTTGTAGAATTATGAGCCTACAGATCCATCTTACTGGCTTTGATTTCCCCTTTGGGCTATTCTAAATAATGCCCATTCTTTTTTTTGAGAACTACTAACTAGGTTTTACAAGTCATGCAGCAACATGTCAGGGGAAATCTTTGCCTGACTAATAGAGTAATGGTGGCTATAGCCTGTTTTGATTTACAAAAAGCTGTTGAAGATTCCAGCTGAGCCTATTGGGAAAAAAAAATACTGGCTTATGTGGCTCTGGATGAAGGGAAGGAACTGACAGCTGTCTTACTCTGGGTATAGAATGTCCACCATTGAGGACAGGTCTTATTTAGCATTTTGCAGTAGAAAATTATTCCTGGTTTTCAGACTTAGTTTTTTAAAAAAATGAGTCACCTCTATCCCTTTCAGTGGGACCAGCCTCCCAACCCTGCACACCCTTTCACTAGGTGCCTGAGTGAAAGCTCAGCTGCAGGGTGAAGTCTCTTATCTCTGCTCCCAGTTAGATGACCCCTATCTGGCCAGTCTCCTCAGCTCTGACTCATTTGCTTGAGCAGGAAACAGTAATCAAGAATGAACTTGACAGATTTGACTTGGGCTCTGATGCTCACTTTGACCCTCCTTATTCCCAAGCCCCTTTGATACCAGCTTCTATGGCTTGGAGTACTATCCTCCTGACTCTGTAGTTCACCTAGGCCTCATTGCACCTACTATTCCAGGTACAAGTGCTCCTTGGGTCCCCTCTGGTGCACTGCGGCCAGGATCTAAACCAATCTGGTTAGCCCGGTTTGCATCTCCACCAGGGAAGGGCATCCTACAAAATGTGGCAACACTCTTAGTAGGAAACAAAAAGTACTGAACAAGAGCTTTTGCCAGTCCTGCAAGGTGGCAATTTAAAAAGCCAGAGGCATTGGGCACTCTTGATTCAAACCCTAGCTCAGCCACTTACTAGCTGTGTGACTGTGGTGGGCATGTTATTCGACTTGGCTTCCACTTAGTTTTCTCATACCTAAAATGGGGGTAAAATCAGGTTTGGCTGTTATAAAGAAGGGGTAAGCTAATGTCCATAGGTTTAATTGACTATGGTGTTTCAATGATTGGTGTTCTTGTTTTCTTCTCAAATCATCTCCATTTGAGGGATGTTCTTCATAAATTCTCTGTAACTTCATATTAAGCCTCACAATATCCCCCTTGTGACGAGCAGCATACAGAAGCTATAATGCTGCGTGCAGTGGAGAAGTGCTATATCCAGAGAAATGCTTGCTGCCCTGAGAATTAACCACCTATCCTGCTGGGTGAAGATTTCGAGGGCTTGCAGCTGGATGTCTGTTTCAGCCTGAGAGACCAGTGTCCTAGTTTTGATTAGCCAGTCTGGCAGGGTTGGATGGAAACAGATGTCCTGACCTATTCTAAATGTTTTTTTTTTTTCATTAGAGACTTCTCCGTTGGTTTTTATTGAATATGTACTTAGCACTTCACCAGTAACACTCTGAGATTTTATTTGGAGGTGATTTCTCCAAATTAAAATGAGATATTAAGTCTCTCAAGTAAAGGAGACTGCAGTGACATGCAGTGGCATTGCTGGTCAATCAGTGAAGAGTGAGACAGTTTTGAGTGTCAGTGGAAGGGTTTCTAGGTAGAATGCATTGGATGTCTGTGAATGGAAAATGGACATGGATTAGTGACCTAAGAGACTGGCTGGTCAATGCTGAAGATAATGGAAAATCTCTGAAATCTTTCAGAGGTGTTTGCTAATCCAAATGAAGGAAGATATGATATTAGAATCGCTTCCTGACCTAAGTTAGCTTAGTTTCAATGGCCATGTTTTCCCTCCTTCAATGCTTATTTTTCACAGATATTAAACATGTTAATTCTATGTCCAGAAGAACAAAAACCATCAAAAATACTGTTTTAAATTTTCAAATGTGGTTTCTTTCTTAGTCTTCACACGCACGTATTATCATCCTTTTTCTTTATGCTTCCAGCTAATTCCCCACCCTCCCTCCCCACCTCATACAAATTATCTATGGATTGGTTCAGTAAAATTAATTTTCCTAAGCTTAAGTTAGGAGCGAGGCACCTGTTTCCATTCTCAAAATAACAAATGACCATTTCTTTCTGAGCTTTCTAAATATGCTTTTCTAAATATGTCTTCTGATCCATCCTCTTCATGAATAACCTTATTTTAAACTCTAAGTGTTAACTCCAACCATAAGATGTTGAACTGTAACCTAGCCAATGAAAGAATTACTACTTTAGACCTTATCATCAAGAAAATGAGTCCTTGCTAAGGCTTTATGCAGAGATCTTGTTCTGAGAATACTACTTATAACTTAGCTGTCCCACCCAGCACTAATGTGGAGAAAAGGTCACACGCAGCTACCACCTCCAACCCCATGTGTGTGTGCTTCCGCTCCAAAGATATCAGTGGCTATGGTTTAAGGGTATGGGTTCACTTGGCAGGTTTGACACAAAGAACTCTGTCATGATGACTTATTGTATAGCCGAATGAAAGGTGTATGAAACATCTGTTGCATCAATGACAATGAATGCAGGAATGAATGAGAAGGGTTGGAGATCCATGATGACAGCATTTCTATCATTTCTTTTCCAACATCTTTCCCTCCTCCAGGAACCATGATATCCACGTGTATCCAAAGGCCAGTCTTGGATCAAAGCAGGTGGGCAGCTGACCCTCTGAGTTCCAGTTACCCTGTGGAAGAATCAGATTTTACGGTATGACGGGAAATTATTTTTGTTCTTCAGTATCACGAGGGTAAGGATATTTGTTTCTCCCAGTGGAACACAAAGGGAAAAATGTAGCCCTGATGTATCCTTTCTGAAAAAGTTCCCCAGATCTCCTGAGGCCAACAATTCTGGTTGCTGTCACGTAGTATGAAGACCCTACAAATTGCTCCTGTCCCCCTGTATTAATTCATCATAGTTCTCATTTATTCCTCATTTCCAGACCTGAAAATCTTTCCAGTAGTGGCCTTTATGCATTCTAATGATATTTAATTAGTTGCCTTTAATCCAGCCAAAACGATCTTAAAAATCAATGATTGTAACGATTCTAATGATCTGATGTGATGTTGAACAGTTCATGTCTGGTCCCACAATAGTGGAAAAAAAAAACCCAAACAAACAAAAACCCCAAGAATGATAAAAGAATGTGATATTTTCTTACCCTAGCTTTCTTTGCTGTGCTGCCCAAACTTATACAATATAGATTGCCACTTGCGTGTGGTTTTGCTTTAGCAAGGGTATGAGAACTGTGCTTTGGAGGGTCTAGTCAAATTGAAGACGGAAGATGGTTGCACTGACAAATAACCCTGATGTTTCGCATATGGTTTTCTAACCTATATTTTTGGATTATCTTGCCTTCTCCTGTAATACAAGCAGGATGTGATGTCAGCATCCCACGGCTGAAATGAAACAGAATATGGAATGAGTTTAAGAGATGAGATGAATGAATGAAAAGATGAAGAATGTTTCTTTAGAAAAATATGCACATATACACTTTTTGCTTATCACATACTCTGTATTAATTCATACATGGATGTAGCATAAGCATTTCACATAATTTTGGCACTGTGCACATTTCTATAGTAAGCTGTTTGATTTTCTTCAGCCACTACTATATTAGCACAATAGCATCTAGAATATTTCAGCAAAATATTATCACATTTGTGCTAGAGCTGCCAAAAATACTCTGTTTTCCATGTTTGTAAACAAAAATAGGAACGCTATTACATAAACACTGTGATTGGAAAAATACCCTCTTTTCAAATCCTCCCTTACATTCAAAAGTAAAGGAGACTTAAGCTACTTTAGTATCCAAAATACATTTTCTGTGAAAGAATATAATTTTCTTTGGGTGCATTAAATATGCAACCAGAACAAATCAACTTTTTGTCTTTCCAAAACTATATCATTTCTGAAAGGCAGTGGCACAAGATGATGTACATGAGAGGAGGTTTGGAAGGCTTCAATGTATCCCTTCATTTAGCATACAAATTAACTAACATAACTGATTACTGTTGCAAATTCACAAATTAATTTCAGGTGCTAGTAATGATACTGGTTTACTCAGGGATTTTTGAAGATTTTATATTGCAGGAAGTAAAGAGAGGTATGGGAGTATAATATTGGATTTTAATGAGAAAGTCTATTTTTATTTTAAGTGAGTTGGTATATAGTTAAACTTGTAGCAGTAATTTTTTCCCCCTCCTGTTTCACTAATAGCAGCAAACAAGAGGTCAACTACAAACTGATATCTAATTAGTCCTACTGAATCTTCCTGGAAAAGGCTGAGATCTTGTTAAGTTTAGAAGCTGGGTGTAAAGCAGTTAATGGACTTGTATGGAGTCTTTTAATTACCAGTGTTAAACAAATTTATCTTTTACTGCTAGATAGCACCCAAGGGCAAGAGGTAATCTGCTTTATAAACCTTGGAATGATTTGCTTTATAAATCCTGGAGTTTAGGAAAGTGGAAAACTCTCTTTAAAGAGTATTCTCTTCCACTAGGAATTATATTTTTGGCAGTTTTGTGAAAAATTTAGTGATGGATTCTTTGTGACCTCCCAATTTATAAATGTTAGCAACATGAAGGCCAATTCCTCACAGCAGTTAGGGCCTGCGCAACAGATAGGATTATCCAAAACCAAGATGAGCGTCAGTATTAGTAAACCAATTAACAAATTGACCCATCTAAGGTTTAGAGCAAACTGACTCTAAATTTCTTTTTCACTTAAAGCATTACATTTTCCTGCCAAATGCAAATCTTTTCCCCCCCACACACTTGGTCATCTCATCTCTATATTAGAAAGCCACATTGTCTTGTGGAGGTCACATTGTAATTTGTGCAGTTTACATTGTGTGGATGGTAAAACATCTGAGTAACATCAGAATTGATAGAAATTAAAAAAAAATTAAGTCAGATCCATAGCCAAATACAGAAGTATCCTAATTCAAAGTTTAGAGTTAAAAAGAAAAACATTGACAGTGATTTTAATTTTTCAAAGGTATAAATGGCTCAAGATTAACAAGGAGCACCCTGTATCTGAACTAGGTCAATTTAACTGTGTTTTACTTGGACACTTTGCTTGCATTACTGTGACATTTTTATCTCAGTCCTGGATGAAAGATGGAATTCACAGGAGTTCACAAGTGTTACAGAGGGAGACTCCATTCTGAGACTGTCTCCCGGTAGCAACAGTACCAAGTAAAACTTTCTTCAGGTTCACTATGGACAAATGCACTTAATAATTCTCACAAATGAGATGTTTGCTCCTGGGAGGATGGAAATCACTTTAAAAGCATGGTTGGTCTTTCTCCCAGGAAATGAGGGCTCAGTGATCACGATGCTGTATTTGCGTCAGATTCAAGCGGATGACTCTTGCTCGATGATTTCCATGGCGATGACCTCAGCACCCTCCATAACGATGACCTCATCACCCTCCATAGCGATGACCTCAGCCCCCTCCATAGCGGTGACCTCAGCCCCCTCCTCGCCTAGGTTGTTGGTGGGCTCGTTCCTTGGCTCCTGATGGCAGATGTAGACAGGCATCTGAGGAGCCTCAGCCAGGGCGGCAGCGGCAGCAGCAGTGGCGGCGGCAGCGTTGGCGGCACGGGTGGCGCGGCGGCGGCCACTCCAGCGCTGGGCTTGGTATTGGTTCCATTGACGCTTCAGAGCAGCTTGGACCTGGAAGAGAAGAGAGAACCTTGTGTTCATACAATGGTCGGAAATGATCTGAGCCAAGTTCATGAGCACAGGTCTTGGAGCTTCTCAGAGGTTAGGGGAGGTTGAATTGTAATTCTCATCTAAAGGGCCGTGTGGTAAATGCTCTGCCTGTGGAATACACCATCTTGGAAGAAGAATTTGCGAACTGGAGAACTGAGTTACTTGCCTCAACTACCACTGCCAAGGTTATTTGCTGTTTTGAGCAAGGGTTTCTTCATTAGCTCTTACAGTCAATGAATGAAAATATGACTTGGTTTCACATTCAATATGGCATCCACGCCATATTAGGGAGACAATTTGAAACCCTTTTATCTGCTACAACCGCTGATACAGCAGAAGCTTTTATCTATACATTATTGGTCATGAAAAAAATATATGGAAACCATTGCACACTTTTGGATTTTATGATAATGGCCTCATACTGTTGATTTTCCTTTATCCAATGTGGCTTGAGATGGGGTGTGCCCGATAAAGCTCTGGTTAGTGGTTAACTAACCATGTCTTATTCATTTTTGTATTACCACATGTCGTGGTGTTTGGCATAGAGCAGTTATTCAACAAATGTTTGTTGAATGGTTGTCAACATCCATTCTAGAATGATTTTCTCCCTCTTTAAGCCAAGAAAATGATCATCCATGACCGTATGGTAATTAGTGCCTTAGCGTCTGGTGGTATTAGGGTGGGATGCTAAAACTGGCTAGAGTGAATTTGAGGAAGAGACTTGAATTCCTCCCTGAGGTGAACTGTAAACCACTAGGTCATCTACAGTTGTGATTAGGTCTTCTCTCTCACGCCATGGTGTATGCTTTGGGGAATTACTCTTGAGCTCCAATGGGTTGCAATTTTGGAAATTATCAGAAGCAACCACTTGTAATATTGTACCAGCAACAAGCTGCGTGGGAGGCAATGGTTGTCACTGGGTAACATCACATCACCTTTCCTTTCCTTTTCCACTGATAAGGCCATTTCACTGGGTCTCATTTGATGCCATGAAAAAGTATTGAACTTTGGGTCAAGAAACTGATTCTGCCCACATTAGCCATGAAATCTTGGGTAGGATAGTTAACCCCTCCGAGACTCCTTTCTTCAGTACAACTCTTCTACCTCACCTAGCTGTTTGAAGGATTAAATTGTTGCACTATGAATCAAAGTGGCTTCTAAGATGTAAGTACCATACAAGGAGGCTATTATTCCTATTATTGTACTCTTATTATGGCAGGATGGTGGCCTCAGGTCTTTAGACTAAAGGAAACTCTTACGTCATATGTGTGGAGATATATATATATACATATACATATATATATATATATTTGGAGGGTGGTGGTGTTAAGAAAATAAAAAAGAGCTCTTTATTACATAGTTTCTGATCTCATGTTCAGTTCTCTCTCATATATTCCAAGCTAGGTCTCCACAAAGAGTACTCTACAGCCTGGTAAAATATCTGATGCTAATGCAAATGAAAGTTTTCTTCACATTGTGATTTGCACTGGCAAAAGGGTGTTGTTGGATCTTTTGGGAAAAGGAAAGAAAATACTCTTGGTGGGAAGATCACCCTAGGAATATATTTTCAAATACAAAGGTGTTTATTAAAGGTATTAATGAATAAATAGTTCAGACTCTCCCCTTCCATCACTCACTTTGTCCTTCACTTCACTCCCCAAGAAGACAACTATGTTTCCCTATCAGTTTCTGGGCTTTTGCTTTGCAATCTGTGCAGTAGGGAGAGCTACAGAAGTGAAGAGAGACTAGACTGATTATATCAGAAAGGATTGATATGAAACCATAGCTGAATATATCTGGGAAAGAGCATCCCTACTGAGTTATACTTTCAGATAAAACATGAGTAAATTTTACTTTTTGCCATGCAATGAAATTTCTCTTTTAGTACCTCTTCATGAATCTAGTAAATATTTAAATTGCTTTCCAATTCTCTTTTGAACTTTGGATTTCTTTACAATGTATTTTCCTGTTGAGACTAACAAAGAGATAGTGATGCTTTATTTGGGTTGTACCGTCTATTAAACAGGTCCTTAAATGCCAGGTTTATATAATCTAGGAACTATCAAGTGCCCTGTTGAGGAATTAGGAAATACACTGGCTCAGCATAATTTTGGAGAAGCAGTGTCCCCAGACAAAGGGAACTGATAGTTTCAGTGGATTCAGCATCTCTTAAATACCAACATTGTCTTTATAGCTAAAATGCAACACAGATATTTAGAGGTATCCGAGGCAGACAGTGCCCAGCAGGGAAAAAAAAGGAAGTTTTTGTTTTGCCTCATCTGTCCTTTTAAAACAATCTCCATTGGATTATCCATGCATACTACTGAAGTACCCAGCATGAGGCCAAAGAGTTTGAAGTCTATTTCAGTTTTTAAAAATTGTTACAGAAATGTTCATAGCCTCCTATAATTGTATTCCAAAGTTATAACCTATCCTTTTGTGTGGAGATGGCAGTCTGCTTCCATTTGTAAACCACACATGTAAGAATAGGCCCTTAGCAGCATGTGAAAGACACTTCAATTTAATACAGTTTAATAAGGGCAATTATCTCCTGCAATACCACAGGTTGAGCCTAACGCTGCTTTGATCACAAGAATGTGGGCATTGAAACTGAAAAATACAGGGGAGACTCTGGTTGTTCCTGAAAAGCATCAGAAATGTAAGGAGTTGCCCATGGGGTAAGTATAATATACAAAGTTTTGAATTACATAAATTCATTGCTCGTTATAAAAGCAATTAACACAGATCACTTCACATTTCCTCGATTATGTCAATTTATTGCCAACTTTAAAAAATAGAGCCCTGGTCTGATGGCTTGAAGACATAATTATTACACCTGGCTCTATTATTAACTAACTGTATAAGGTTGGTAACATTTGGGGCCTCCATTTCTATATTTGTAAAAAAGAAACTCAGGTTGGAACGTTCGTGGTTGAATTTGGATGTTTTTATCTTTGGCCTTTGTTTTCCCGTTAAGTTCATTATGAGCACTTGCAGTTTCGTGCTGCTGAATGGAAAGTGGGATTTATCCTAGCAGTTCTGATTTTTTTTTCCTTTGTCTAGGACAAAGAAATCCTTGTTTAGCTTTGAGTCCCAAAGCTTTCTTGAGTCTTAGACAATATTTTTGAAAATTAAGTTTTATTGAGAGAAAAAATTTCTAAATAGAAAAACTTATTTTTGCATATGAAGTGGTCTGAAAATAGAACTTTACTAAAAGCAATAGTGTACAGCCACTATGGAGAACAGTATGGAAGTTCCTTAAAAAACTAAAAATAGAACTACCATACGACCCAGCAATCCCACTACTGGGCATTTACCCAGAGAAAACCATAATTCAAAAAGAGTCATGTACCACAATGTTCATTGCAGCACTATTTACAATAGCCAGGAGATGGAAACAACCTAAGTGTCCATCATCGGATGAATGGATAAAGAAGATGTGGCATATATATACAATGGAATATTACTCAGCCATAAAAAGAAACGAAATTGAGTTATTTGTAGTGAGGTGGATAGACCTAGAGTCTGTCATACAGAGTGAAGTAAGTCAGAAAGAGAAAGACAAATACCGTATGCTAATGCATGTATATGGAATCTAAAAAAAAAAAAAGGTTCTGAAGAACCTAGGGGCAGGACAGGAATAAAGACGCAGACCTACTAGAGAATGGACTTGAGGACACGGGGAGGGGGAAGGGTAAGTTGGGACGAAGTGAGAGAGTGGCATGGACATATGTACACTACCAAATGTAAAATCGATAGCTAGTGGGAAGCAGCCGCATAGCACAGGGAGATCAGCTCAGTGCTTTGTGACCACCTAAAGGGGTGGGATAGGGAGGGTGGGAGGGAGACGCAAGAGGGAGGAGATATGGGGATATATATATATATGTGTAGCTGATTCACTTTGTTTTAAAGCAGAAACTAACACACCATTTAAAAGCCATTATACGCCAATAAAAATGTTAAAGAAATAAAAGCAATAGTATAGCGAACATGCAGGATATGACATAGGGAGAGTCCCTTATAGACAGGAAGGGGAAGTGGTGAGTACAGAGCCCTTCCAGTCCCCCCCCACCAGAGGAAGAGGAGAGAGAGTTATAAAGAGACACAAATGACTTTGCATTTCCACTTCATGGAGGGGATACTTGAAAAAATGGAGAGAAGAAAGCAAGGAATAACAGAAACATTCCTGTATAGCAGGTCTGTTTCTCTTTGCTTCTGAGAGCACAGTCCTGAAAATTGATAGCCTTGTAAAGAAGTCCCACTCTTGGCCTGGTACCAGGTCCAACATGGTGCTTGAGCAGTGGAGTGGCAGTGACTATGGCACATACTAAAGACAGGTTCACAGGCCCTTCACAAAGGTGAAGAAAGGGGCCTGAGTTTCCAGGCTCCTCAGGTGGCCTGGAAGGGAGGACTGGTGTCTCAGGATAGGGCTGGGGCCCGCAGAGTGAAAGGATCTCTAGGGTCCTCAGAAGTGAGGGGAGCCACCATGAACTTCAACAGGGGGTGCCAGCATAATACTTGGAAACCAGCTGCCCATTTGTTCAAAGGCTTTTGAACTAAATATTTTCTAGAAAGAGACTGTTGTAAACTATTAGAGGCCTGGTGGAATGAGCTCTTCAAAGCAAGCTAAGTTATAGCAAATAAACAAAATTTTAGGCTTCACACATTTCAATTTGTGACTATTAAATTGAGATCCTTCTAGACCTTGCTGCTTTGATCCACAAACTATTTTATCCACAGTACATGGGCAAGAAAAATGAAAAAGGGAAAACCTGCACTGTGTTGTCAGTACTCCCAATTTTTAAATGAGCTACTGCTTAGAAAAACGGGGCCTTTCCATAGGTGTAACCATCTTTTTGTGGTCTCTTAGATACTTAATTAACAATTTACTGAAATGACTGGGTGGTCAATGTCCACACTCTTGGAAAAGTTGTGGGAAATGTCTGTTACATAAGCGTGCTCTCATGCTCATCTCCTGATTCCTTGTACTGTAATCCTCAAAATTCCTTTCCTGCTTTTAACCTACCCATTGACTATCTGATCCATTTCCATAGCAGGAGTCACTGATAACATATGGATAACAAACAAAAATTAAAACCTGTATCTTCATTGTAGAACTGACATATTAGCTCCCTAGATCTCTGCTAAAATGTAACATTCAGCCAGGCAAAGCCTGATCACAACCATGCGGCTGGAAATGACCTTCCGCATGTGTAAGTGCCCTGCCCATGTTCAGTGTTGTAAGACAGTAAGCTCACAGGAGGCCCAGATGCCTGCAATCCATGGGGCTGAGCTGATACGACATTTGGCACAGTACACAAGTTAGTGTTATTAGAAATGTCACACTGGTACATTCCCCCAGTAACATGATACTAACTAAAATGGGGATGGTTTCTTCCAAAAGCAGAGGTAACATACTTGAATTAGAGACTTTCAATTGTTAGGAGCACCTCTGGGCTTGCTTTCTACGCCTGCCACTTCAAAGACGGCATCATGGATAAGACACAATCAGTATTGAAGTATTTTTACAAATGCATGCAAGCCTTTCGTGTTTTCAAGGTATGCCCATCCTGAACCTGATTGTTATATTAGCCCTGTATCGATATTATTTTAGATGAAAACATTTATTTTGTATGCCACCTGAGCCAACTCAAAAGGCAGGGATATTCATTCACAGAAATTGATATAAAGATGGGGTGACCTAAGCCCTATTTATTTATTAGTTTTTACCGTTCTTAAAAGACACTTTAGGGCCTCCCTGGTGGTGCAGTGGTTGAGAGTCCGCCTGCCGATGCAGGGGACACGGGTTCGTGCCCCGGTCCGGGAAGATCCCACATGCCGCTGGGCGGCTGGGCCCGTGAGCCATGGCCGCTGAGCCTGCGCGTCTGGAGCCTGTGCTCCGCAACGGGAGAGGCCACAACAGTGAGAGGCCCGCGTACCGAAAAAAAAAAAAAAAAAAAAAAGACACTTTAACAGCTGGTAACAGAAGGATGTCTTTTTATTTCTATCCCAGACTTTCAGTATAGTCCCTAGCAATACTGAATGCACAGTATATTTTTGTTTGATTAAGGAAAGAGTTGATGGATGGATGGATGGATGAATGAATGAAGCAATAAAATGAATCAGTTAAAAGTGAGAGCGGGGCAACCATCTTGCAGTTTTGGGGTTGGAGAGGAGCAAGAGGTTTTAGAGTTGCAAAATATATTATTTATATTTTGAATATTATTTAACTGAAGAAATAAAGACTAGAAAATCCATTAGCTATCAATTAATAATGGTTAGAAAATCATTCTTATTACTAAATGGAAAATAATACATTTATCTTTTTTTTTTTTTGCGGTACGCGGGCCTCTCACTGTTGTGGCCTCTCCCGTTGCGGAGCACAGGCTCCGGACGTGCAGGCTCAGCGGCCATGGCTCACGGGCCCAGCCGCTCCACGGCATGTGGGATCTTCCCGGACCGGGGCACGAACCTGTGTCCCCTGCATCGGCAGGCGAACTCTCAACCACTGTGCCACCAGGGAAGCCCCATTGATCTTTTAACAAAATGTGATTTGCCTTGGTATAAAATTATTCTTTATAGGATTTAAAATTATCACAAATACTTTTACATTTAAAGTTATGAGATGTATAACTCAAGAAAGCGTACTAATAAAACTTCAGGAAGGAGTCATAGACGTAATGCCGTGCAGTGGAAGATTTAGTCCATTTAATTGGAAATCAGGAAATCTGGGTTCTACTTCTGGTTATAAACTATGATTGTGACATTGGGCAAGTCACGTGATCTTTCCGGAGTTTAGATTTCTCACCTGAAAAATGAGGGAGCTTTCAAATCATGTTCTTTGAAGCCCTGGAAGTTCTTTGGTACAAATTTAAGCAGCTCCGCTTTTGTTTTACAAATTGGGCTCCCAGGCAAGATATCATTGGAAGAAAGGGAACTCTGGCTAAAAAAACCCTTAAAACACTGGCCATGTGGATCTCTAGATTTTACTGATCTAAATAGTCAGATAACAAATTACTTATTCCCTTTTGAGTCTTAACTCCAGGGTGATTTTCAAAGTGTTGAATAAGTAGTATGACATTGGCATCAAGCAACTGGAAAAGAGGGCAGTGAACCAGGACAAACTGGCTGGATATTGGTTCTGCCCTAGTGAGGAGCTGGGTCTTCCAAAGGGAATGGGGATGTGACTTCGATTCTACGGGAATCCAGAATAGCTTTCACTGTTGCTGCTCAGGGTGCCGACCAGCTTAAGGTACCATCCAAGGAAATGAGAATTTAGCTACCTGTCTGGATAATATCTTCAGTTGTACCACACAAAAGCACAGGTAAGATTCAACTTGCAGTAGTGGAAAAAAAATATGATCCAGCTAGTCATGAAACCCTGTAAGGTCACCTGTAGAAGTGAGAGCAAATGAAAAGTGCACAGAGGCCCTTTGGAGACTGTAAAGTGCTGGCTTTATATACACGAGTGACGGTATTACACGTAACACACGCTTACCTCGTGGTTGCAGAAGCAGTAAATGACGGCAACAAAGAATCCCTAAAAAGAGGAGGAAAAAGAGAGTTGAAATTATTTTTGTGTGCATTGTGTTGTCAGTAATCCATATAAACAGACGACCTGGAGAGGAACATTTCACTACGGCAATAGCAAGTCAGGGCTCGATGAAAGTTACTACCACTCATGTTCAGTGCTTCACTACAAGAATATTCCATTAGAAATGCCTTTTTCTCGTTAGGATTCTATTGCTTGGCTAAAAAGACTACTCTCGTCAATCTGGTTAATATATTACGGCCTTTAACGTGGAGATTTATAGCAGAATATGCTGTTTACAGGGGATGTGAAAAGAATCTTTGTACCTAAAACACTTAAAAACTGAGATCTTGTAGCGTTTAGTAGAGAAAACTTTTGCAAGCACAAGTGTCACAGTCAGTGCATGGCTGTCGGCCTGACTCTGCCCTGTGTCCTCATGGTGAACTAGTGCAGTACTGTTCCCACAGCCAAGTCCATCTCTCCAATAAGGACGTGGACCAAGTAACTTCTGAGGTTCGGGTCACTACTCAGAAGACTCCTTGTGTCCAGGCTTTAACTGCCTATAGAAATGGCCAAAATAATAGATCAGATTATTAAAATAATTCCTAAACTTAATTTTAAGCCCTATTAATCTTGACCTCTTTCTTCACATTAAGCCTCAGCAGTAGAAAATACAACTAACTGGACATGAATAATTGAGACAGCAGAACTCTGGCCCAAGAGCCTGTAGCAGACCCGCTTCTGCCTTAGGACACGCCATGTCCCACCCTTGCTTTCAAAGTACCTCACACTGTGCCTTCAACGAGGCTTTGGATCTGAAGCAAAGTGAACGGAAACAAGGTAGCCACTCTCCACCCCTGTGTGGCAGACATGGGACCACCTGGGATGACCCCCAAGAGGCTGCTCCATTCTCTCCCACATGAGAAGAGACCTGGATACATTTCCCTATGTAGTCACTGAACTGTCAAAGATGGATTCCTGACATCCCTCTGACAGACGGAGGGTGACAGAGCAGGAGGCGTGGATGCTCTGTGCAAATTCATTACAGCTCCTGGAAAAACAATTCAATGTGTATTTATGAAAAGAGGGTCTGAAAATTACTGTATGGGAGACAGAGTATATGCGTGGGTGGGACCAGCTGAGGGTCCTGGGAGTAATGGGAAAGCAGAAGCAACAAAGTGCTCACAAAACCTGGTTTCCTTCACAGTTTTGGCTGTTGGCTTGGAGGCTGTAAGTTACGAGATTTTGGGTCAGCTTTAGAGTTATATCTCCTGACTTTGCCACTAACCAGAAAAGCCCATTTCCTTATCCTTAATAGGCATGAGAATACTTACCTCACACATGAAGTGCTACATATTAGTGAATGGTAGCTATAATTATGATGATTTCTGATTGGACAACGTGAGAGTGTCAGCCATACCCATTCTCTGTGGTCTGCCTGACATTGTAGGGATGGCTAAAATATAGGTATTCTAAGGTTCTGACCTCTCTAATCAGAGCCAAGGCAATGAATTGAAGTGACTGGAAACTGGCTTCCAGTTTAAGAGGGATATAGATGCCAGCTCGGGGTCCAGTGTTGGCATTTCACACTGATAGAAACATCTGCTTCTCTGCCCTGTGTTTTCATGGCATTAGCGACTACACTGATAATAATCCAGGTTGGGAAGCCAATTGGCATTGGTTACATTGGTCTTCAACAGTCCCCTCAATAAAGCAAAACCAAATGTGGCCCTCGGATGCTGGGGAGGGGAAGGAAAGGTCAAAAGCACTGTGGGAGGGACTTCCCTGGTGGCGCAGTGGTTAAGAATCCGCCTGCCAACGCAGGGGGACACGGGTTCGAGCCCTGGTCCTGGAAGATCCCACATGCCGTAGAGCAACTGAGCCCTTGTGCCACAACTGCTGAGCCTGCGCTCTAGAGCCCATGAGCCACAACTACTGAGCCTGAGTACCACAACTACTGAATCCCATGCGCCTAGAGCCCGTGCTCTGCAACAAGAGAAGCCACCGCAATGAGAAGCGTGCACATCTCAATGAAGAGTAGCCTCCGCTCACCGCAAGTAGAGAAAGCCTGCGCGCAGCAATGAAGACCCAACGCAGCCATAAATAAATAAGTGAATGAATGAGTGAATGAATGAATGAATGAAAAAAAGCACTGTGGGAGTAGCTCTGCAGTGGGTCAGTGTCTGGACAAATATATTTGTTCTCTAAAGATGTATTCTCAAAGCTCATACCTCCTGTTTCCTGTCTCCTTGCCCAATTTTAAGATTCAAAACGTGGGAAAGCAGACAGTGAGAGAGACAGAGAAGGTAACGTGTTACCTTCGGGGTAACACATGTTCTAAAGGGTCATTCTCATCTCAGAGGAGCCCCAGAAAACTGTGGGCCCTGCACCAACTAGCTGAGTGAGTGGTTGAATAAGTGCTTCCCCTACCTGGAAGTGAATCAGAGAGTGCATCACGTAGTCGTAGATCCTTCCAAGCACTGGGTGGGAAGGTCTCCAGGGAAGGACAACGAACTGGACCCCCAGCAGGGGCACCAGGATCAGAGTGGCCCTCACCGCCTTCAGGTACATGTGCGATTCCTCCTCCTGGGATTCCTTCATTTTCTTCACAAGCACCCGGACGATGTTGAGCAAAAAGAAGAAGTTGATCTGCAAAGATATGATCGTTCTGAGCAAATTCTCCAGGTCAGCACCCCTGAAGGACACCCACTTCCCTCAGTTCTCGTTTATCCAGTGTGGGGAGCAGATAGCACCTACACGGGACACAAGTGACTGCCTGAGAGGTAATATAATCGGCTCCGTGTTACGAGAACACAGAGCATCAGTAGAGCCAAATACTCTTTTCAGATGTGAATTAACATTTCCCCCCCTTTTTCCCTATATGAGAAAATAATTTCCTGTATATGTAAGTAGATTAGGTTCAACTCTAAGGAAGGCATTTTATTCTTTATTTAGGTTTTTATAATTTTTACAAAGGAAGTCATAAATGACACTTTTAGATTTCTCTTCCTTATCTTTTCATTATGAAGATTTTTCCCTTAGGCAGGACTACTTAACTAAAAGTAAAATGAGGGCTGAAAAATTTATCTGTAAAGCTTATGCAGTGGAGAAAGCTAACCCAGACTTCTTTTTTTCTAATAACACTTTTCAAAAGAAATCACTTCATTGAGGTATAATGTACGTTCAATAAAATGGAGATTTTAAGTTTACATTTGGGGAGTTTAGACAAATGTATGTACCTGTGTAACAAGCAATCCAAGCAAGAGAAGAGCATTTCCACCACCCCAAAAAGTCCCCTCTCGCCCCTTTGCAGTCAACAACTCCCGGACCCCACCTCCAGCAACTGGTGATTCCTATCATCACAGAAATGGAGTAATATATGGTGTGTGTTCTTTTGTGTGTGGTTTCTTTGGTTTAACATACTATCTGTGGGATTCATTTGTGTTGTGTGTATTGGCATTTCATTCATTTTTACTGCTGGGTAGTACTGCATTATATAAATAATACCTATACATAATTTGTTTACTCATTCTCCTGTTTATGGAAATTGGAATGGTTTCCAAAATTTGACTATTATGAATAAGCATGCTGTGAATACTTGTATCCAAGTCTTTGTGTGGGCATGTTTTCATTTCACTTGAATAAGTATCTAGGGGTGGAATGGCCTGTTCATATGGTAAGTGTATGTTTAACTTTGAGAAACTGCCACGCTGTTTCCCAGAGAGGTGGCTTCATGTTACGTTCCCTCCAGCATTGTATGAGAATTCCAGTTGCTCTTCACCCTTGCCAACACTTGGTACGGTCACTTTTTAATGTCAGCCATTCTAGTGGATCACAAATTACTTTTGGCTGTGAAGATTAGTTTTAAAACCAAGGTTGTTTTTAAAATTTAATTGATCATTTATTTTTAAATAATTAGAATAATTCTTCTACCTGGAATAGAAATAAATGTTATTACCCCAAAAATTCAAGAAAGGAAAGAGACCTTTAATAAAAATTGAATTCTTATGGGGTGTTGTGTCAGTATTCAAGACCCACGTTAGTAGGTCCTTGTGAGCGCAGTTGAACTAGTAAGTACACCACTACTCTGAAAAATGGCAAAAGAAATTGAATTTGCATTGGAAAGGCCAGGAAAGTTAGGAGACAGCCCGGGTGATAACCCAATTTGATCAGTTACTAATGGATGCTTCTTCAGTGCAGGAGCAGAATATGGTCTATGACTCCGACTGTTTTTATTTTTCTTACTCTTGCCTGAAGAAAACACTATCTTTGAGGTTAATGGGGAAAATAATGTCTAAATTTTAAATTTGATGGTTCTGATGATGGCCAACATACAGTAAACCATGGGTGGAAATAAAGAGCTTGCATATAGATTCAGACAGTCATATTTTCTCCTGGCCCAACTTCTTACTAGTCATGTGATCTTAAGTGAGTTTACTTGAGTCTTTGGGTCTAGTTTTCCTAATGAGTAACATGTCTCAATGTATCCACTTGGAAGGTCTGCTATTAGTGACAGCATGGCGAGGTATGTGAAGGGCCTGAAGTGCTTTAAGTGCATGTTCAGTAGTAGTTATGATGATGGCTCATGGACCAAAGGTGAAATGGAAGATGGTTTAGTTTGGCAAAGCCCAGGGAAAAATGCTGCAGGGGGACTTTGTGGTCTTTCGCTTTCTTATCAGCAACATCCTGACCTTTGGTCTTTAACTAGGAGAATTTATAGAATTGTTGAAAAAAAAAAAAAGAACACCTATATTGTTGCTATGGCTTGTATAGAAATGAGCTTATGCCCCTCCACCCAACTGTAGTAAATAAAAATCATTTTTAAAAAGACTCAAATTGTTCTTATTATAGATTATCATTGAATTAACTGTTAATAATGGATTTAAAAGGCAATTCTCACCACTAATGCCCCCATGACAGGACCATGGATGATGTAAAGCAGGTTGGTGTCCACACTCAGCCAGCAGCTAAAAAAAAGAGGAGGGAATACATCAATACAATTGCATTTTATTTTCAAATATGTTAACTAAGAACCACAATACTTACTTGTCATTGAATAACAGTGCCCTTGCGATAGCATGGGCAGTGGTTGGCACCAGCGGGAGCCCTAAAATGTGAAAAAGTACAAAAGCTATAACTACAGTTTTATAGAAATTGTAGTTTACTTTCAAGAATAGTGGCAAATTTAATGTCTTGTCAACATATTGCCCTGATGTTTTTGTGCAGATTATCTTTGGTCAAACCAGGTAAAAATGCTCTTAGTTAGAACATCATGTGCTGTCAGAGAGTTTGGTTAACAGCATCCAGATAATTAAAAGCCTGTCACAAATTATCCAGTGTGGTAGGTACATTATTACTCTCACTGTGACCATAATACCATTGTTATGTCTATGATGATGATGATGACTATTAATTGAGACCAGAATGCTTTCCATTGTGTGTGAACTGGGCTCTCTTACACAGGGGAGGTGGGTTGTCCTGAAGGGAAGGGACCTGAGATGGCATATGAAAGCCATAGTCTGATTGCTCCAAAGACTTCTTTGTGCTCTCAGTATTTCTTCCGGGCTTTTTGTTTTTCTGTTTATATCATGTGCATTGATCCTATTTTCTTTCAACAAGAACACTTCAGAGTAGCTAGTACCTACCCTACCCTCTGTAAGTTCTGGCTCCAGGACCTTTTATTAAAGCAGCTCAGAATCTACTTCCCTGAGTAAACTTGAAGTACGAGTCAAAAACAGGTTTGAGTTTATAAATGGAACGATGGAGATAGCTGCTGGCGATGCGTCCTGTCAGTCTGAATCTTTTAAAAGTCAACCTTTATTCTATAAAAGTAATCTAGAGTAAAGTTGTAACTTTTGTTAAAAAAAAATTCTTTTTCTCAAATATATCCATGCACCATAGAAAACTTTTTGATTTGGTTGACACATTTGTAGACAGAGTTTTTAAAACTATTATCAGTTAAGAAATGTGTCTCAGAAGTGAATCAGACCTCCACACTTTTATTTTCTGTGAATTATATGCAAAAAGAGACTCAAAACATTGAGTTTTCACCAAAGAACCATCTCAGCTTCTTAACCCATGAAGCATATAATTCAAAATAGGACCATCAAATGTTTGACTTCGAAGAATTATGAGTCTATTTAACACAAAACATGATTGTGTTTTATTCACAGCAGTTCTAACATCCCACTCAGGTTTAGAATCAGAAATTCACTCTCTGACTTTACTTTGAAATACACATTTTAGAATTAGCAAGAGAGGCAATATGGAGACTTCACTTCCACCTTGTCATTTTGTAGAAAGGAAAATGTGATTCTTACTTAATACAGAGAAGAGTATAGACCCATATCTGTTAATTCCTAGGGCTCTTCACCTGCCTCTAGCCATGATGTCACTTTTTACAGTTTATTTTTTCTTTCCTTTTCCTCTTCTTCCAGGCTTCAAGCGTCATAACAACCTTTCCCGCCCACTAAAGATGGTCAGAGTAAGAATAATCCTTTCTCCCCAGGATTCTTCTTCAGGAGTGCTGGATAAATTCTACTTGTTCATTATAAAAGCCCATGGGTGGGGGAGTTCCTTCTTTGATTTATAACAATGGGAGAAACAGCAAGGCGAAGAATCAATCTGAAGAGGGTTGTAAAATAAATGATTTTTCTGAGAACTAAACTTCAGTGTTTGAAGTTGCTTCGATCTGAGAGAAATTGACCAGTAAGCCATTCAGTGCAGACTTGTAAGGAAATAACTACTGAAAGAAGCCTTTTTTCATTTTCTGTTGGGGGGAAGTTCACCACCAGATACTTTTCACCCAGAGGGTGATGTTCATACTGTCTCTTATAATTCTTTGAGATGGAGTGGGTAATATTACAGCTGAAATGAATGGATGAGATGTACATCACCTGCAAACAAAGTTAGGTCTTAGGACGCAACTTTCTTGGGTCAAATTTTCTGCTGTCCCACTTTCAAACTCTTTTCAAAACATAGGTTACACCTTATTTCATGGCATTGGACCTAAATTTTAGGAGCCATCGTACTGTTTTGGTGTGAAAATAATTTCAAAAGGACAATAAAAATATCCACTAGAAATTTCTTCTTCTCTGCTCTATTAAATTCTTTAAAGTTTCTGTGAAACTATTTTTGTTGAGAATTTATTTTGGTTGTAATTTTACTTGTTTTCCTCCCATCCAAAGATAATGCTTGCCTGAAGTTCTAAGAGAAGGCATTGCTTTAAAAGAAGTCATCATAGCTGTCTTACAATTTTGTTCTCAGAAGTGAGATTTGGTACTGTGATTTTTGAATGGTAAGGAGTTTGGTGGAATTTTAGTGTGTGCAGGAGTGGAGAAAGATAGATTTAGCCCAGGCATGTTAAAAAAAATAATAATTACATTTTAGAACTATACTTGTTGACTATCTTTCTAAACATCTATGGGAATTTAAATCCTTCTCATTCTTTTAAATGGACGATTCTGTGCTTACCTTACTGAATGTGATGTTCCTTAGGATTCTACTTGAATCATTCTGATAAAGTTTTAAGTATTCTCTGATTAAGATATCCCATAAATATTTTACTTATTTTCATTACCTTCTTTTTGATACAACAGCTTGTTCTTTTTTCCCTTGAATTGTAACACACGTGAACATGTGTGTTAAGCAGATGTCTTCAAAGAGCTGACTACGATGACGCTAAAAGTTTTATAACGAATTCACAGTGCATCAGTATGGAAAGAGCAGTATAAATTGCTCCTTCCAGGGTGCTCTCATCTCTGCTGAATGTTACAAGCAAGAATAAATTTGCAGCCTTTTCCTTCCATGAGAAATTTTCTGAGTGTGGCAGACAGATGTTTTTAAACAGTCAAAATTGGGACAAGAAGTATGCCATACATTTTACTTCAAAGGAAATAAGTAAACTAGATCAGACAGGAATGGTGTCTGTGGGGGGGGTGGGGGCAGGGGGGATGTTATTTTCAGGTTTTCAGTTTGAAGGCATCTGACCAGTACCAATCATTATTATCGTGATAATCAGAATTGCTATTGGGGCCAATTAAATTGTAGCTAGTTGATTCCTGGCATGACCAGTTTCAGAAGACTAGAGATCACTGGGAGGGTATGTATGAAGCTGAGAAGGGCAGGGGAAGGAAAGGCTGGGACTAAAAGAAAAAACAACAAAAAACAAGTTTGATTGTATGCTGGCCTGTTTTGAGGACAGGGAGAAACAGGAGGACCTAGCACCTGAGGTGGGATGGGTGGATAGTCACAAGCTTGATTTCTAACCTTACTGGATGGTTAAAAAATCCAGGATGCTGGGCTGTTGCCAGGGTACAGCCCTTTTAGTAGTCCTGCTGCATTCTGGCTCTTGACTTCCATGAGATACTCTACAGAGTGTGAGAATTTCTCTTTCTGACTAAATTAGAATATCTTATTATCTGTTACTTACAACCAAAGAGCTGTAGCATCATCAGTTCAACTTTGAGGCAACCCAAATATCTGCCCTGCTGACCCGCCATTAAAGGATTATCCCATTGGGTTTGGGTAATGTATTGATACTTGGTTAAAATCCATGTGTTCCTATGAGGGAGGGTTGACCAGTAAATGAATATTGCACAGGGCCATCCCTGGAGTAAATTGTGGAGAAGACTTTGGGCCGCTTACATGGCTTCCCTGAGCCATTTCTTTACAGTTGGCAACAATAATTATCGGGCAGGGGTTTAACTACAAAGTGTGATGTTTTCAGAAAGTCTTCGGATTATCCTCCCTCCTCATGAAATTTTGCCTCTCTTATGGATATTTTTAGGGGCTCCCCCAAATGCTGCATTAAAAGTCAGGCTTAGCTGAAGGCAATTCACAGCTTCTGCTCCAAGAGTCATAGTCACCCTGTCAGTGGAGAGTAAGGGCAGCTCTTGGCTCTACAGACAGTGTGGAATGGCCCTCGGGATCCTCCTCCACTATGGAAGTTTCACTGCATGTGTTTTTGTCCCCGAGCTTTTTCCCTCTCACTGCCTTACTATCTGTCTGCTTCTCTTCCACCAGTGGAGCTGTTCTTTTAGCAGCCCTCGGGGAAAGGGAACAATTCTAGAGAGTCCCCAAGGACCTCAGCACCCTTAGTCCATTTGTACAGAAGTAGCCACACCTCACAAATCATGTGACAGCAGCTTTTAGAGGAAGCTGTCTCAGAAGCTGTCCTCTGAAGTGACAGCTCAGAGAAGCAGGCAGCCCAGAAACCCAGGCGTGGAGATTGATCCTGCCAGAGAAAGGGGTTCATGATGGCGGATTACCTACAATGATTCCTGTATAAAAAACTACCACGTGTTGAGGGGCTCCATGGTATTGTATCAGATACAGGTGGAGTGCCTTTCATTAAAGTGGCCAATGATAATGCTCCAGAGCATGCTTTGAGACCTGGTTTCTTGTCTACTTTTGCCCTTGCAACAGACCAAGGGAGCAAACTTTGATTTTCAAAAAATAAAAGTATCACCTGTTACTATAACACCTACCAGATTGGTTCAAGTCAATCGTTTACCTTTGGTGGTGAGTTTCATAGCCAGCAGCAATGCTAATACAGGACTAATCGTCAGCCTAGAAAAGGAACTTGCTCCATTATTTGAAGAATTGAGACAAGTTGTGGACGTTTCTTAATCTGGCAGTGGTTTCTAGGTATACCTTATCTTCATTATATCAGACACAGTGTCAATCCAGCAATCTTTAGACTACAGCAACACTTGTATCCATGTTCTCAAGAAAGGGCCCCTTTTTCCACCTTACACTAGAGAAAGAGCCTATAGATAGAATTTATGGACAGATTGATTGTCATTTTTTCTTGTGTAGGGCCTTTTCTTATTTGTGAGATCTGGGGATTCCACAGAAATGGTTCAATCTATCGCAGCTCCTATGGAGTTAGTCCAGTCACCAAATATGCATGAGATTCTATTCGGTGGCTCAGAATCAAAATGATACTTTGATCCACTTGAGCCATGAAGCGCTCTCTATTGTACAATATGCCAGGCCTGCAGAATGAAGCAGACTCTTTTTATTGTGAATGGTGAGAACATATTTTTCTTCATATTATTTTCTTTGCATTGAGTGTGAGGGAGATTAAAATGGCTTAGTAGAAGTAATAAAATCAGTACAATCACTAACTTTCCTTTGTATATATTACTTTGCAGTATAGGTGAGTATTACTAACTGATTTGATTCTTTTCAGAGATAGCTAATCGTTTTTTCTTCTATTCTGCCTTCTATAACCAATCGGTGTTTTTTAATGTTTGTGTATTCTTTATAAAATTTAGATGTGATTCATTATTGAATTGTTTCCAATATTGGTATGTATGTAAACATGGTAGTATAGCCCTTTTTTTCATACTTGAGTATAAATAAAATAGTATTTTTAAAAGTACAGTTTGCGCACTACATAGGTTTTTTCCCCCAGACTGTTTTTAAACGTTTAAAGACAACAATTAACTTAATTCACTCTTTCAACCACATGAATAAGTGACTTTCTCGTCTGGTATGGAGACTGTTTCACCTAACATAAACTGTCAATTGGAAAATAAACCTCATCCATGAACCTTGAAAAAAAAAAGAAGAAGTAGTAGCCACACCTCAAACAGTCCCACCATAAGCTTTTCAAAGCCATTGCCATGCACTGTGAGGTCAGGTAAGTTCTACTTGGAGGCCCATGTGGTTATTTATGTCTGTTGCTTAGCTGGACTCCACTTCCTGAACCTTCACTAGAGGAGTCCTGCTGATGGATTGACAGGAAGGAACACTCTTGAGGAAGGGAAGTGGGTCCAGGGTAGGGGAGTACAGAATTCAAAATGTGAAAGTCTCCTTTGCTCTACAAACAGGTGATCAATAAAACTGAAGGGGGTCTAATGAGATCTCTCAATCAGCACATGTTTTCAGTCCATCTGTTAGCTGGGTTTGTTTCCTGAAGACATTCTCATAGTCATACCCCTCCTTCGCTGCACTCGCTCTCCTGCTATCACAGTCCATGTGAACTTGTTAAAAAGCTTCTACCAGGTTCTCCTGGAGACTGAACTCCTGCCAGCACCTGTGTCCCGTCTCTCCTCAAAGGACCTCAGCCCCTGCCTGCTCTCTGACCAAGACTAGAAGAAGACTGAATATACAGACAGAGGTAAAGGTGGCTCAAAACTCAGCTGCAGAAAATACATACCCCAGCCCAGGACATAATACCACCACATGCGTTGTCTCTCAGCGAACACAGACACCACGATGAGAGTGTGAAGATAGACCCCTTCACAGAGCATCCAGAAATAGTTGCACGACATCATGTACTGGTGAAAAAAGTGCAAAATCTTGCAGATCGGCTGTTGGAAAGAAATGGAGATACTCAGTGGAAGACATCTGTAACAATTTGGCCAAGAACAGAGGGTGAACGTGAGAATGAACCAAAGTATCTGCATTCAGTCTGAAAGGCAGTTTCCCCAAACATCTATCAACGTGTCACCCTCTAGAATTGGAAATCAGAGTAATAGTTCATAGGTTCTTAGTATTACATGTAAACAAACAGCCAACTAGGGCAATGGAAGCCTAGTCTCCCAAATGTTCTTTTCGCATTACATCCTGGTTACTTATATAGACTAGACAGGTTTATTTTTCCTGTAGTGTGTCTGAGACCCATAATTTCTGATAGCATCCAAGGATTCGTCACATAACTTTTAGGGCCCCTTTTCTATGGCCGGTGAGGAGAATAACACAGAAATTGTTAATGCTTTCCTGAAGTTCACTGATCTGTTAGTGATGTTTACTTAGCAGTAAAAGAGGAGAGAACCAGGTGGTTAATTTCTCATATATGAGCCAGGAGCTATGCTGAGCCCAACTGATGTGATTTTGCTTTCATAAGGGAGCCTTAGTTTCTATATGGGGGTCCATGTGTTTGGGACTTAGAAGGATGGAAACCTTGCCTGGTACTCAGTACTGATGTGGGATCCACATTTCTGGAGCAATCAAGCTTAACTACATATTGTTGTCTGTACAGAAATAATTATTGCTTAAACTACATAACAGAACACCCTAAATAGTTTCCTAGTCACCTCTAGAGTAGGGCTTGTCATCTTGGCACTATCGATGTTTTGGACTGGATACTTTTTGTCGTGGGGCTGTCCTGTATGTTGATGGGTGTTTAGCAATATTCCTGACCTCTATCCCCTAGACGCCAGTAGCATCCCCTACCCAGTCATAACGATCAAAAATATTTCCACGGCTTCCCTGGTGGCGCAGTGGTTGGGAGTCCGCCTGCCGATGCAGGGGATGTGGGTTCGTGCCTCGGTACGGGAAGATCCCACATGCCGTGGAGTGGCTGGGCCCGTGAGCCGTGGCCGCTGAGCCTGCGCTTCTGGAGCCTGTGCTCCGCAGCGGGAGAGGCCACAGCAGTGAGTGGCCTGTGTACCGCAAAAAAAATATATATATATATATATACATATATATATATATATATATGTGTGTGTGTGTGTATGTATATATTTCCAGACATTACCAGATGTCCCCTGGAGAGGAAAATGTCCCTGGTTGAGGAACACTACCCTAAGGTATTTAGCTGTGCTTGACTCCCTCTAACAACAACAAAAATAAGAACAATTTAGCAAGACTTTACATATTAGGGATGATTATTTGCATTATTATTTTATCAAATGCTCTGCTTTACAGTTTGAATCTGACTGGATTTCAGGCCTTTTTTTTTTACAAAGCAAATTAGCCAGAAAGTGACTTTCAGTATTGCAGTAACCTTTTCAGGACCACTCATTTCTATTCAATGCGTAGCAATAGTAATTCACTTATTGGGAATCTGATGCACTGAGTCCTTTCAGAACTCATTGAACGTTAAGAAGCAGCCAGCTGTGTCCATGAGAAGGCAGAGAGTGTATTTTCAGAGATAGAATCAACCTCTGATTCTGACCAAAGTGGAACAGTAGTGCAGATAATTCAAAACATCAGGTAATCTGAAAGTAATTTATATTGGCTTACAAAGGCACTGACTTTGGCTTACAAAGGCACTGACTTTATCTGATTACCTTCCTAATTGGCATTAGTTAATATTATTAGTTTGCATTTGCTAAGCAAATACTTGCTATGTGCACATGACAAACAAGTAAAATAAGAAATTCAGTTGATACTCTGGATTCATTTTAAAGACTACTCTTACTTGAAAACCCTATTCCTTCTGGATCAAGAGGTCCAGAGCAGAAGCTTTGGTGGCTGCATTTGTAGAGGAAGGGATAAAAAGAGGGCAAAGATGATGGCCCAGGGAAAAGCTGGGGCTCTGTGTCATCCAAAGCAGCTTTGACTTCACATTTTATATGCAGCCAATCCTCATTATTCACTGTAGTTATGTTCTATATGGCTAGATACAGTAGCATACTAAGGAAAAAATTGTGAGATGTTTTGTTTTTGTTTGGCTTTAAAAAATTTGGCAAGGGAGAATTCAAAATAACAACCAACTATTTCTTAAAGGACATTCTGTTAGAGTTTGGTTAAACACATTATCTAAGATCCTTCGATTTTTCAAAATGGTGGCTAAATTTCATGAAGAAACTATGCTTATTTTTTTGTGTGTTCAATCCTGGACTAGGTCCTAGAATTGCGAAGACAAAGTTCAGTGCTTGCAATTGAGAAAGTCATCTTCTGGAGGGGAGATGAATACAGAAATACATAAATGTAGCCATGCACAATGACTTCTAAAAAAGGTGATTTCTGTAATCAACATTAATACCATTAAAAATTCTTTTCTCAGGTACATAAAGCCTGGCACCTAGATCATAGCAAATAAATGAATCAAACTAATGGGGTTTGTGTTATTAACATTAAATAATCCATTCAATTTGTGAGAAAATTAACAAGGAATGAATTAGTAGATTCTGCAAAAGTTGAACAAATTATTAAGCATTGTCAAGCATTCTGCCCTTCCTCCAATTTTTGCATTATTTGGGGGCTGCTATACAGACTTATAGTAAAAGAGGTGGCTAACTATAAATTTACTTCTCGAATTTGCATGAACAATATTGTAGCAAAATGAAGAGTATGCTAGGATGGTCTCTCTTTGGTTACTGGGGCCTATCAGAAGCGTGTTTGAAAACTTATGGCAAACAGTTAAACCACATCCTCCACTATACAAATATATTAATAAATAACTAAAAATAGTGAAAAATTAGTTTGAAATGGTCTAAAGAGTACTAACTCCATAATACTTTGTACCGAATCAAAGCTGCCAAGTTTATTTCTGATAAATCTTGTTTTAAAGCAGAAATAAACTTTGGTGTAGGTTCTGGTGATCTCCAGCACTGTGTCTATAGGTTGCTCTGCCTCTGTTTCAGCGGCATGTATATCATTCCGCCTCATGTGGGCATACACTTTTGGGGAATGGAGGTTGCAACTCCATTATCTTCCCTGAACTGCTTAGAACTAGAGTGGGAAATACTGTGGAAAGAAACTACTTTTGTTTGTCTATAAAAGTGAATGGATCAAATGAGACTGATATTTGATTAGGTCAGTAATTTTTCCCAGCTCTCTTTTGAAGTGTGAGAGTGATTTTGATACACAGGGAACTAGAAAGGACATACGGCTTACCTTTTTCCTCTCCATTCCTTCATACATCTTACAAGCTCGAAATGCCCTTTCACCTACCACTTGAAATTACACTCTAAAGGGTGTGGGCATGGCTTATTGAAAGGAGTTCTTGAAAGCAGTGATGTAATAATGAATCCCTCCAAAAATATCCAGTTCAAATATAAATAATGAAAAAGTTTATAGTAGTGCTTTTTCAAATTTTAGCATGCATCAGAATCACTGGGAGAGCTTGTTAAAACACAGATTTTGGGTCCCATTAGTAGAGATTCTGATTCAGAAGATCTAGCATGGGGTGGTAAATTCTGCATTTCTAAGTTAAGTACCGAGTGATGCTAATGCTATTGGACGATGGAGCACACTTTGAATGGGTTTAGGGTACAGAGGGAGTTTACTCCGTACCTGACTCCTGTTTTGGTTACTTGCTGGCCTTTCAGTACTGATAACTCTAACCATCAAAGAGCACAAGCTTCTTGTTCCAGTAGACTCACAATGCAATGAGAAACGTCCTGACTTCGATGCACATGTATACTAAAACTTCATGAGGAGGAATTACAGAAATTTTTGTCAAGATGCCAGTGCAGTTGATAAACCAAAGGGCAAAAGGCTTTCATTTCAACTTGAAAACTGTCAACTTGTACAGTCTTTAAAGCTAGTTGAATGAAGGAGAAAAATCCCCCAGTCAGAAAGTCAGCATGAACTTTGTAGGAAACTACTGCAGTCCTTCTCTAGAGAAATTGAAAGATATAACGTTTTCAATTAAATGTGAGTCTGTCATGCAATCCTGGGCTGATTTCTGATAAAGCCTCAAAGAAAATAAGCTTGAATCTGTGCAACTGTAGTCACGATTGGGTGTGTTTAGAAAACAAAAAACAAACAAAAAAAAACACTGGAGAAAAAAGTCCCATTTGAGATAAATACACTGGAAAATGATGCAGAAATTGGCAAAGGAAATACTCCAGAAGTGTCCAGGAAACAAAGCCAGAGAAAACAGAAAACATGATGGGGGTGGGGGGGAAGCCTGTTAGAAATGTGGCAGGGGAATAAAAATTAACAGCTTGCTATACTCACAGGTCTTTGCCTACATGCTGTAATGAGGATATTATCACTCTTCACTGGGGATTTTCAAGCCATGACTGAATGAGTTTTATATGCTCAGACTTAGGCCACAGCCCTTTTTGGTTATTTCTGATTTAAAGCCTCTGAGCATGTGCATTCTGCTTTCACACTTAGTCCTTTTAGATTTAAGCAGTATTTTACACATGCTCTGAGTTTCCACACCTCCCATGGTGTGTTGACACAGAAATGGAACTGAGTACCACAGTTAGAAAATGATGAGTGCTTAAGTCGCTGACAATGGTAACAACTCTAGTATAAATAATAATAGCTAACATTTGAGAGTTCTGACTCTTAAATGGATTTATGGATCTTAGGTGTATTGGTTCATTTAATCCTCACAAGCAACTCTTTGAGAAAGGTACTATTATTACTGAGATCTCTATCAAGAAAGTGAAGCCCAGTGAGGTTAAGTAACTTGCTCAACATTAATCTGTAAGTAGAAGAGATGGGATCTGAGATCCTGCGGTTCAGCGAGAACAATGCTGTAGTATTTGGAGCAATCCACCTGAACACAGCTAATATCAAATTGATTATTGCTCCATAGCTTTCTAGCAATTAACCAACATACCCCAAGGGAGTGTACAAAACTTCTAGTAACTCAACTGAAATTTTGAGAATGAAAACACAT